CGTCTTTCAAAGCTCGAGAAAGTTGACATTAACATGCGGTATCTCTCCCTGAACATTTGCACTTGCAGACCACGGAATTTGTCGTACATAATATCTATTGCACTCAGGTCATACAAAACAACTGGTCCTATACGGAACTCGAGACGGTAGACTTGGCCTCATTGACCTGAAGCCGAAACAAGGCGATATTAAGTGGGAGATAAACACGAAAAGCACTGGAGGTAAGTTTTTAATTATTTTCAAGCTGAGAACTGCGTAGAAAACGCTTTCTTCTAGCGATTACCGCCATCACATGTTACCACTTCACCCATTCTGATCATCCTGACATCCTGATCGGGAAGGATGACGGGGCTGTGGAGATTTACGTGGTGGACAGCGAGGATAATTGCACATTCGCTGGATCCTATGTAAGTAATGAGATTATTAAATGAGAACCATGTGAAAAAATAACTTTCATTATAGTTACGTATAAATAGGCTGCAACGTTTCGAAGAATTCTTTATAGTTTTATTTTAGAACTGCGACGAATCAATCACGTCTATTGGATGCGGTCGTATAACCCGCGAAGATGAGGAAGAAATTGTGATTTGCACTTATACAGGTAGTTAGAAAATCAATTTATCGATTAGATATTTTTATAGCAATTTTGAATTATCAAGGAGAATGTCATTAATCCTCAGAAATATGAAGTTACGCTTCAGGAAGATACACAGCATTTCAATGTTCAAAAGTTTCTTTTCAACATCCCCAATTTGAGTTCTTTGTAAGCTATTGTGCAGAACTTGGGTAACTAAACCTCTTATGTGCATACTGATGGCGGCCTCAGCTAAACCCATGACTCGAACAATTCATGGAACTAAGTAGTAGCTGGAAATTCGAAACGGAGTTCTTGCCCAATACCGTTCTCAAGGACGTTGATTGGTCCGCTCGGAAGATTACGGTATTGGGCAAGCTTTCAGAGTAGGAGTTTTACCGCGAATGAGTCATACAAGCTGTCACTTGGGCAATGGTTTACTTATCTTAAAACCACTTAACCCAGGTACCAAAATGTCTTAATCTTCACTCTAAGGTTGGCTATTTGCGCTGGCGCAGTCGAAAGGTGCAGCTTCCGCAGTAACACCAAAAGCTGCCAGTGTCAACGTCAAAGTGCAGCAATTAAGGTGAACCAATTCTGATCTATATTTATTACATTCCTACATGAAATAACGTTGTAGAAGTGAAATCGAAGAGTTAGAGACCAAACTCAATGAGGAGCGGACTCGCTATGGAGAGCTCACGAAGAAAGGTGGCAACCAAGCCGCTTACATACCTACTTTTCAGGTTTGCAAAGAAGGATAAATAATTTTGGTCTACAATTTATGTTCAGATACACGATTCTTTCGAGTTCTCGCCACAGCACAACGCATATTCCCTCACGATCGAACTGGTCCTGCCAATAGATTTTATTATCGTGCAGGTGAGGATATTAGAGGGTAGGGTAGCTACGAAGATACGGTATATCTCCTGCAACTTATTTGTACCCTGGAAAGCCTTTTGTATGAGCGATTTCTTGCTTGAAAGAGCGAGGTGAGAGTGAGAATATTGAAAATGCAGTATCAAACCAAAAGATGAAAAAGAAAAGCTGTAGAATTGAAAAACGAAAGCATAATAAGCAAGGTTACTGTAAATGCAACTATCGT